ATAATATAATATAATATAATATAATATAATATAATATAATATAATATTTTCTCTGAGAATAAGAGCATCAATAGCTGAAATGGACTACGGTCCATGAAAGCAAGTAGCACAGTAAATTTGCTAACATTTAAGATGCCCAAGACTTTTTTTTTGTTCTTGATAAAAGAAACAATTTATTCCTGAGTACATGCCTTCTATGTATAAGTGCCCTTACTTAATCATGATAATGACTAATAATGAAATGTGCAATATAACATGCACATGACATACGTTTTCCCCTTCCGTATTATCAGTACAGTATTCCACACAAGGAATGGAGTTTGTGTTGTAATGGCAAAACACATCCATCCTTTCCTATGAATGCCTATACTTTATATGTTTCTATTTTAGACATTGTATAGGTCTCCTCATGAATTCATTTACCATGTATTTGTTTTCTCATGACTTGCCTGTGTTGTAGAAATAGTGCAGTTTTGTAGCACACAAATCACAGTTTTTTAGCTTAGTTACTGCAGTTCTGGAATACAATCTATTGTGATTGTGTTCTATAAAATAGAACAGGATGAGCCAAAAGAGGATGGACTGTATTAGAAGTGAGACAAGAAAGTGAACATTTCCTTTCTTTTCCATTTATTCTTATAGTTTAAAGATTGCTAAGCATTCCAACAACTTAAAAAAAGATTAAGGTTTTATTTGTGCCAACACATATGCCAAGTTTTTGAGCTGAAAAAAATCAACCTGTGTCTATTTTTTCTTACTTCCAAATGTCTCTAAATGGTCAATAGTATCACTGTAAATAACTTCATTTCAGGAGCATCTTGGGAGTGGGAAAGATGGCCATTGGTGCTTTGTTCTAATTAGAATTAGAAATACTTGCATCATTAAAAATTATTAAAAATTCAGGTAATAAGTAATTGGCAAAACTAAAACAAATAGCATTTTTAAAAATTGAAGGAAGGGAATTTATTGCTTTCACTGTAATGTGCATCCTCCAAGTTAGGAGAGAATCTGTGATTTTCCACTGGATAATGAGAACTATAAATATCATAGGGATTAAGTTAATTTCACATGGTTCTCTACCCCAGCATATCACTCTGCAAAAGTACTGCTAAAGTACCATAAAGTATGTTGTGTCAATAATAATTCAAACCCCATTACAAAATTTGTATTTTCTGTTCATAATGATGATTAAAGTGATCTGTTTTTAAAAAATTATGCAGACAGGGAAGTTCATGGATGTTGAGTTTCCTACTTGTCTTATCGTTTTGGGAATCCAAGGGGCTTTTCTGTGGCACACAATTTTTCTGGAATAATGTCATATGGTCAGCCCTGGCTTTCCGCAGAAAAGGGTGTTGGGCGCTAGTCATAGAGTTCTGTCCAGTTTGGAACAAATACTGTCCCTCAGTGGAGCTTCCTCTTATCCCACCCAGAATGTTCAATTCTGAACCTTTAGAAAGTTTCTTGGGAACAGAGAGACTGTAAGAGTGAGAGTAGGATCATACTTATTTGGGTTTCTTGTTAAAACCAATAAATTACAAATTGACTGATACTTCTTACGGTTGTCATAAATGCCATTATTCAAGTCTCATAGGGTTTTTCAATAATTAATCAGGGATCTCTTGTTCTGTTTCTTTGCAAAAAAAAGGTAACATTTCAGCATTGTCATACAATTGTTCAAAATTCATGGATTTATAAGTAGACTTTTATACAAGATAAGGTCAAATTAACTACTGAAGTAACCATTCCGTTAAAGTTGACATAGTCTAATATTAATTGGAAGCCATCTTATGTTGAGCCATAGAAAATGGTGGCAATATAAACAGAACGTTCTTACTCTATAATGTCCTTCCTCCATACTCTAAGTGGCCTGGAAGCTCCTTCAGTGCAGTGCAGTCCTATAATTGATGTTGGTGATTATGATGTTGGTGATTTGTTTTATTTATACGTGGCAATGCTACACTAATGTGGTCTTTGTAGCTAGTATTATAGCAAAAAGAATGAAGAATAGCACACACATTAAACTGCCAATCAGACATTTTGTCTGCTTAAAATGTCCATTCACAAATTCTCTTTTGGAGTAATTACTCCAGCTGCTGCAGTGACCCTGATATTCCTGTTTTCTCAGTATGTCAGAATCTGACTTTTTTTTTTAAAAAAGAGGATAACCTATCTATTTGACAATGGAAGGTGCATGCTTTAACTAACATGACTGTTTTTTGCACAGAATGGTTTTACTCCACTGCACATTGCTTGCAAGAAAAATCGCATTAAAGTAATGGAACTGCTGGTGAAATATGGGGCTTCAATCCAAGCTATAACAGAGGTAGAGAAATTTCACAAAGAGCCATCTCTTATGGCCATCTCTTCTTTCTCTTCACACCCTCCTTTTTATACATATATCTATATATCTATATACCTATAAATCCGGAAGAATTTAAAGGCATTTTGCAGAGGAGTAAAATTGCTATTGCTTTATTTCACAGTCGGGCCTGACACCAATTCATGTAGCTGCATTTATGGGGCATTTGAACATAGTTCTTCTACTACTGCAAAATGGGGCTTCTCCAGATGTCACTAACATTGTGAGTATGGCTTGGATTTGAATAATCTTAGGATAGCTGAATGTGATGTTTCTTAACCAGAAACTACACTAGATATTAGTATTTTGTAAACTTTTTTCTATCTAGCCTTCTTTCTGGGATACATTCAAGATGGAATATGGTCCTTTTTTTGGTTGTCTGCTTGTCTTGTAAATACTTTTAAAACACTTTTATTTCTGAAATCTCAAACTAATGTCTAAGCAATTTTCTAAATAAATAATTTCAGGATCTTTTGTTATCTACTCCTCAACCTTCCCATGTCTTCAATTTTGACTACTATAATAGCAGAGTTATGCCAGTGGTGCCCATATATGGTAGAGCATGCTCAGAAGTTTGCGCTAGTAAATTTCCAATGATAAACAAGTATTCCAAGTATAGACTTTAGACTAAAATCTAAATCTTGCACAATTGTTACAAACTAGATTTATGTTCAGTAAATAAATATAAATAATTTTTCCCAGCCATTATATTCAAGCATAAATAATTATATCTATACTATTTACTGTTTTTTCTTTTCACTGTTGAATATATTTGTCAGATTGACAAATAAGTGGCATAAGTGGCATATGACGATAAGGTTTATGTTTGATATTATAACCCAAGGGTTGAGTCTAACTACTTGTTTTCTGTTTAGAAAATTGTTAATTTTCTAGCAATTTTCTGCTATCTAGAACAGCAGAAACACAGAGGATAATTGTTGCTGTGGTTCCTCACATTTTCATTCCAAATTAGGTCTTTGCAGCATGTAGGAAAAAGTTTTATCAGAGGAAAATTGACATTAAATTTCTCTCTTGGATTTTATATATTGTCATTAGAATAATAACTTTAACTCAGACTGTGTGGAAAGTAGGTACTTGTGATATACAAGAGTAACTCATATGAAGTGAGTTTGAAGATTTAATTCAGGTGGCTAGCAAATTTGACCCATTCATTCTTCTTCAGCGTGGGGAGACTGCTTTACACATGGCGGCTCGTGCAGGACAAGTGGAAGTGGTGCGCTGTCTCCTGAGGAATGGTGCTTTGGTTGATGCACGAGCCAGGGTATGTATTCATGTATGTCATACAATATTTTTTAAAAAGTTAGAAGAACTCTAGGTATACTATGATGAACAGGTTTCTTTTTTTTTTTCTAGCAATCTTCTATAGTGAGAAAAACACAAAGATACATGGGTGGATAGATGGATGGATAAGATAGAGTAGATAAGATAGAGTAGACAGACAGACAGATAACCCCTTTCCTGTTTTGAGTTGTAGGAGGAACAGACACCACTGCATATAGCTTCTCGCTTGGGTAAGACAGAAATTGTGCAGCTACTTCTGCAACACATGGCACACCCAGATGCTGCAACAACCAATGGGTATACACCACTACACATCTCTGCCCGAGAAGGCCAAGTTGATGTAGCATCAGTTCTACTGGAGGCAGGTGCAGCACATTCTTTGGCTACCAAGGTAAATTCTCAAGTTTTGGTTGCTAATGTTCCAATATTAGCCAAGTAGCACCAACATTATAATTTTATCAAGATTGTTGTGACTAACTTGCGTAACTAGAAGCAATGATCTTGAAATTATATTGGTCCATTGTAGTAACAATGCATGGGGGTCTTGTTATGAATGTCCAGAAGAAAGTGGCCTCTGTGTGTATGTGTGTGTATGTGTGTATTCATATATCATATATTTCTATATTTTGCAGAAGGGATTCACGCCACTACATGTGGCAGCCAAGTATGGAAGCCTTGATGTGGCAAAGCTCCTCTTGCAGCGTCGTGCACCTGCTGATTCCGCTGGGAAGGTAAGAATTAGCATTCCAGTTTGAATTACAAATAACCAAGAAATTTTTGTTTTAAGCGTTAAGTATCCTAATTTTGATGTTGCATTCAATATTATATAGCAAGTAGTTGATATTGAAATAAAAATATCATTCATAATACTACACAAATACTATGCCTATTCTATTTTTACAGAAGCTTTCCCACTATTATTTGTTACAGATACTGCTTATATTCTGTTGTAAAAGGCAAATTTCAATGAATTTCATTGACTGACTTTTTATAGGGTTATCACATTAAGGCTTCCTTTTTATATGGTTGTTTCCATGTCATAAAAAGGGCAAAACATTATAGTTAGTACATATCAATGTTTCTACACATCATAAGATCTGCTAGATCTAGTATGATTTAGTCTTACATGTACATGCCAATTATAGTTAATGATTTGCAGTCAGACAAGAAAAGCTGGAATAAAAACAGGTATTATAAAGGGAAGATGACAAAATTGATACATTTGGCGATAGACTGTTCTTTGCAATGTGTCACTCAGTGCCAATCTCAATGTCAATATTCTGTTACCTCATTAGATAATACATATTTAATTTTCTAACTCAGGGTTGAAAGGGAGGAAAAATGTATTTTCTTTAAGCTAACATGGAATAAACGATAATTACATGTTGGATATTTTGTTCAGATAGGCTAGGAGAGGCACTTGGTTGCGCATCATTCCTTACAAATTCAACCTTGATCAACTTGATGCTTTGACATGAGCTTGCTTTCCTGCCCAATCAATATAGCATTTCGAGATTCCCAGTTTGGCTTCCTTCTTCTGTATAAACACTTTGGGGATTTATTTGGCAGAGATTTAAATAACCTTGCAGCAATTTCCTCCCTCACATTCCTTCTGCTTCCCAGTTTGACCTAACCTGCAAGTTTTTGGTAATTCTTTCAGCAGCAATGCAACTGCTTGGAAATGAGGCATTTTCCTGACAAATGATTAGCTTTTGCAGTTATTATACAGTGAGTGGGATTAAGGGATCTCACAATTCTTTATTTTCTATCAATACACTTGGATGTAATTCTACCATGAGTATATTTGTAAATAATAATAATAATAATAATAATAATAATAATAATAATAATAATAA